TGGGACTCTTCCGACGCTCCCCCCCACCCCACCCCCCACGGGGCCGGCGAAATAGGCAGAAAAGGTCCTGGAAGCTCCCGATTTTGCCCCCGCTGGCCCTGTGGGGGTGGGGGGAGCGTCGCAAGGGTCCTGGAAGGCTCACCCGAACCCTTGTGACGCTCCCCCCCCCACGGGCCAGCAGGGACGAAATTGCTGCCTTCACTCCATAAGACTTTCCCACCCATATTTGCGGGGGGGAGTACATCTTATGGAGCAAAAAATACGGTAAACAGTACATTGATATGTCAGGTACTGTTTCATGATGAGTGAAACACGGCGCGTCTGGAAGCAATGCATTGTATTCAGTAGATCAGGCGCAGCCTGCTCAGAGCAGCAATTCAGATTGTGCTTAAAAATCATTTATTTACCAACATATCAAAATTCTGCATGCATTTAAAAAAATTATATGGGCAGCCACGTGGCACTAATGGTGGCCACCTTCAACAGTGACATTACTTTGAAAAAGTATTGATAGGATTGTACATACATGCTATACCATTAAGGAATAATTCAAAATGCCACTGGAACATAAAATAACAGAAGCCTCTGGTCAAGCAGGATATAATCCCCAGTTACAACATTGGCCAGGAAGATGATTCAGTAATGGCCGTAGATCATGTGACCCGAAATTCAAGCTATGATCTAACTGGGACATAAGTAGAGGACATTTCCATCGTGTGATCGTGCCCTTTGGTGGAGGTGGTTGTTTAGTCATTTAGTCGTGTCCAACTCTTCGTGACCCCATGGACCAGAGCACGCCAGGCCCTCCTGTCTTTCACTGCCTCCCAGGGTTGGGTCAAATTCATGATGGTTGCTTCGATGACCCTGTCCGTCCATCTCGTCCTCTGTCATTCCCTTCTCCTCCTGCCTTCACACTTTCCCAACATCAGGGTCTTTTCCAGGGAGTCTTCTCTTCTCATGAGATGGCCAAAGTCTTGGAGCCTCAGCTTCAGTATCTCTCCTTCCAGGGAGCACTCAGGGTTGATTTCCTTCAAAACGGATAGGTATGTTCTCCTTGCAGTCCAGGGGGCTCTCAAGAGCCTCCTCCAGTGTAACAATTCAAAAGCAGCAATTCTTCAACGGTCAGCCTTCTTTATGGTCCAGCTCTCACTTCCACACATCACTACAGGAAGAACCAGAGCTTTGACTATTGGGACTCGTCGGCAAGATGATGTCTCTGCTTTTTAAAATGCTGTCTAGTTTTGCCATCACTTTCCTCAGAAGAAGCAGGTGTCTTTTAAATTCGTGGCTGCTGTCACCATCTGCAGTGATCGTGGAGCCCAAGAAAATAAAATCTGTTGGTGGTAGCACAGGCCTAATTATAGTATTGAATGGAAAGTGCTCGAGTTTGTCTGCTCGCATTATACTTTAATTAAACCTTGTCTCTCTAATTTCTCTCTGTGGTCCCCCCCCCAGGTTATCCAGAACCTCGGCTCTACTGGTTCAAAGACGGGCAGCCAGTGCATGTGTCCGATCGTCTCTTAAAAATAGACAAGAGAGAATTCCATGCTCTTGAAATCCTCAACGTAACAAAGGAAGACGCCGGAGAATACTCTGTATTTATAAGCAACTCCGCTGGTTCTGCCTACTCGGGAGCCCGATTGATTGTCAAAGGTCAGCAAGTGTGACCCTGAGGTGATGGTTTGTGGTGTGTCTGTGTCTAGGTTAGGTTGCTCTCAACAACCATAACAAAGGTTGGAGACCAAGGTTTCCTGATGTCCATGAGCTTGATTTTAAGGAGAGCTGCCCTGAATATTGCATTTTCCCCTTTCTCAGATAGAGGCTAATAGGGTGGTTTAGAAATTGTGTCCTGTTTTAACACATATGCTTGCCATATTAAAATACTATTGAGTACTTATTTTGCCCTTGGTAGTGACTTATTTCTTATACAGTGGTGCCTCGCATAACGAGCGCACCGTTTAACAACGAATCCGCATAGCAATCTAATTTTTTTAGATAGCTAATGCAATCGCATTGCGATGTTTTAATGGGTAAAACATCGCATTGTGATGATTGGTAAGCATTTCGTGTACCGATCTTCGCATTGCGATGTTTTTTGAACAGCTGATCGGCTGTTCCAAAATGGCCGCCGAGTGCCCAAAATGGC